CCTGACCACCATTATCAATCCATTCACTAAGGCATGGTCCTACAATCCAATCACCTCTTCAGGGCCCCACCTTTCAATGACCATAATAGGATTTCCCACCCTCTTAACAGTCACAGTGGGACTAAGTTTCTAATACATAAAAGTTGGGGGACACAATTCAAGCTTCAGTGAGTTGGGGGGGACATAATTCACCACATTCCTCATCTCGGGGAAAGCTTCTAGTTTTTCACCGTTAACATTATGTTAGCTGTTTTTTGTAGATGTTCTTTATCGAGTTGAGGAAATTCCCCTCTATTCCTAATTTTCTGAAGGTTTTTATCATGCGTGGTGTGGATTTTGTCAAATGCTCTTTCTGCGTCTATGAATAGGATCATATTTTCCTGTTGATGTGGTGGATTACATTAAGAGATTTTCTAATGTCGAGCCAGCTTTGCACGTCTCGTTGTTTGTGGGAATGAATCCCGCATGGTTGTGGTGTTTGACGTTTTTATGCATTGCTGGATTTGATTTGCTCATATTTTGTTGAAGATTTTTGCATCTGTATCCATGAGTGACACTGTTTGTAGCTTTCCTCTCTTGCAGTATCTGTGTTTGGTTTTGGTATCAGGGCCTCATGGAGTGAGTTAGGAAGTATTCCCTCTGCTTCTCTTTTGTGGAAGAGATTGTAGAGAATTGTATAATTTCTTCCTTAAATGTTTAGTTAAATTCACCAGTGACTGTGGGATCAGTAGTGATGGCCCCTCTTTCATCTGATGTTAGTGGTTACGTCTTTTCTCTTTTTTTCTTGGTTCTCCTGGCTAGAGGTTTGTCAATTTTATTGCTCTTTTCAAAGAACCAGGTTTCGGTCTCATTGATTTTTCCTAATTAATTTTCTCTTTTTAATGTCATTGATTTATGCTCTGTTTTTTATTTTTTCTTTTCTTCTGCTTGCTTTTAGATTTAATTTGCTCTTCTTTTTCTAGTTTCCTATGGTGGGAGCTTAGTTTATTGATTTTTATATCTTCTTTTCTAATATTTGCATGGGGTGCAGCATTTTACCTTTAAGCATTATTTTTTTTGCTGAACCCCACAAATTTTGCTAAGTCATATTTTTATTTTCATTTAGTTCAAAATGTCTTTTATTTTCTCTTGAGACTTCTTCGTCTCATGTGTTATTTAGAAGTGTGTTTAATATCTGAGTATTTGGTGATCTTCAGCTATCTTTCTGTTGGTGGTTTCAAGTTTAATTCTACTTGGTCTGAGAGCATACTCTGTATGACTTCTATTTTTAAGAATCTGTTAAAGTGTGTTTTATGGCCCACGATGTAGTGTATCTTGGTGAATGTTCCATGTGAGCTTGAGAAAAATGTGTGTCCTGCTGCTGTTAGGTGAAATAGTCTAGACGTTCATTATATCCAGTTGAGTGGTGGTGCTGTTGAGCTCAGCTCTTTCCCTACTGAGTTTCTGCCTGCTGCAGAAAATAGGGGGTGTTGAGGTCTCCAACCATGACAGTGGATTCATCTGTTTCTCCTTGCAGTTTTTGCCCGTGTATTTTGATGCTTTGTTATTAGGCATATATACATTAAGGATCGTATTTCCTCTTGAAGAACTCTTTCAGTGTAATGTAATGCCCCTCTTTATCTTTAATGATTTTCCTTGCTCCAAAATCTGCTTTGTCTGAAATTAATATAGCTACTCTAGCTTTTCAATTACTGTTATATGTTTTTAATGTATCTGAATATTTTACTTGGTGATATTTAAGTTTTTTCTCATTTAAAAAATGGAGATACAATTCACATAACATAAAATTCACCATTTTAAACTGTGAGCATCACCGGTTTTTAGTATGTTCACCGTGCTGTGCAATCATCCCCAATGTCTAATTCCAGCACATTTTCCTCGTTCCAAAAGGAAACCTCATAGCTATTAGCAGTGAGTTCCACTTCTCCCCTCTTCGTCCCCTGGCCACTGCTCGTCCACTTTGTCTTCATGGGTTTGCCTGTTTACAATATGTGTGTGGTTTCCTTCACTTAGTGTAGTGTTTTCATGTTCATCCATGGGGAAGCATGAGATAGCGCTCTATTCCTTTTATGGCTGAATAATATTCCGTTGTGTGGATGAACCACATTTTGCTTATTCATTCATCTGTTGGACACTTGGGTTGTTTGCACTTTTTGGCTTTAGGACTAATACTGCTGTGAACATTCATGTGCAAGTTTTTGCATGGACATCAGTTTTCAGTTCCGTCAGGTGTACGTCTAGGAGTGCAGTTGCTGGGTCATTCACTAATTCTGTGTTTAACTGTTTAAGGAGCTGCCAGATGGTTTTCCACAGAGACTGCACCGTTTTACACATTGACAGCAGTGTATCAGGGTTCCAGATTCTCCACATCCTCACCAACACTTGTTTCCTGTTTTTCATCCCTCTTATGTTTTATAATAGCCATCCTAGTGGTGTGGAGTTTTGATTTGCATTTTTTGATGACTAGTGAGGCTGAACATTTTCTTATGTGCTTATTGGCCACTCACAGATCTTCTTTGGAGAAATGTCTGTTCAAATCCTTTGCTCATTTTTAAATTTGTTTTGTTTTGTCTCTGTCTTTTTGTCATAGAGTTGTAAGAGTTCTTTGATATTCTGGGTGTTAGGCCTTTGTCAGATTTATAATTTGCAAATATTTTCTCCCATCCTGTGGGTTGTCTTTTCACTTTCTTAATAGTGTCCTTTAATACGCAGAAGTTTTTAAGTTCAGTTTATGTGTTGTATTGCTTGTGCTTTTGGTGTTGTATCTAAGAAACCATAGCCTAATCTGAGGGCATGCAGATTTTCATCTCTGTTTCCTTCTTAGAGTTTTATAGTTTTACCTCTTACATTTAAGTCTTTCGTCCATTTTGAGTTAAATTTTGTATGTGGTGTGAGGTTGGTGCCCAGATTCACTCTCTTGCATGTAGAGATCCTCTCGTCCCCTCACCATTTCTTTTCCCATTGAGTGGTCTTGGCACCCTTGTCAGAAATCATTGCATGTATGGGTTCTAGGTCCTTTTTAAATGTTTAATAAATCTATAATATAAAGTAAAAATGTTTATGACAAATGAAATAAGTGTCTGTTGTTATGAGCTATGGGAGTTTGGGGTTGTTTGTTGTCATAGCAGAAGCTGCCTGATGCAGTATTCACAGATGTTCTAAGTAGCGTAGTTCTTGTGCTGTGCAGTGTTTGTTTATCTGAGAACAGACACATAAGGGACAAGTCCAACACCAATGCTACCTAATAGCATTTGTTCATTGGAGCTGGGTTATACAATTTAAAAAGGCTTCTTGAAGTTCAGATCTGGACAAAACGTCAAAGAATATTTAACAAAGGCAGGTAAAGTAGTCTTGCTTAAAGTCATACAACTGACCAGTGTCAAGGCTGGGACCACAAGCTGAGTCCTGCTCCAGCATTGCCTCTGTGGTGTGCTGCATATCTGTGAATGTAGGGTGTTGTTTGAGGTGCTCTCCCCAAGTGCAGTGTCCGGGCTGGTGCTGCCCCAGGTACGGAAGCAGGTGGTTTTTCAGTAGGTTGCTGTGAAACTGTGGAAGGTTGCTGTAGGAAGTCCCTCTTATCTGACACTATCTGGGCTGGCACTTTTTAACTTAAAAATGTTAAACAAGCACGGGTAAAGAGTGGTGCATACAGACCTTAATATTTTAAAACACTTATGTATGTGTTTATTCTCCATTGATGTGGTGGTGCCAAGCTCTCTGAAAAATTGATCTGCTGATTAGATTTCCCTGTTGTCTTTTTTGCATTCGGTTTCTGTTTGAGTTGAGTGAGAGCCCCAAGGCATTTCCAGAGAGCCTGGGTATAGAGTCCCTGTAGATTTGTGTGATCCTCCCGCCCAGTCCTCCTCCCACGTTCACAGCTGTCTCACCCATGTCTAGTCCAACAGAAATTTGCTCAGCAATTTGCCTGTATCAGGTCTTTCCAAAGCCTCTGCCTTAGTTTTCATAAAAATAGTCTTTTTTCACCCATGTTTTGTTGATTTATACAATGTTTAGTACACTTATGTAATTATGATAATAAGTTTAAATGGCCTTACAAGTGTGGGGATCATCACATGTGACTCTTGGTGACTGAACAGCTCAGCTAGTTGGAGTCAAGGTCACAGGTGAAGTAGACAGCAACCTGCTAGCTGTCAGCATGTCAGCCTGCCAGGGGCATCCAGATGCTCTAAAGGGGAGGCAGAGAGCATGGCCAGTCCTGTGAGACCAGTGCTTGGAAATCACCTAAGCAAGCTTCTGAACATCTGTTAAGTGGAATACTCAACATCTGTATAAAATGTTAGTACAAATTTGTATGTATTATGAGAAGACGTCCAAGTCATATTGCTACGTGGGAAAAGCAGTTTACATGACAGCATGTGTTAGGATGCTGCATGTATGTGCATGCGTGTAGAAAAAGGCCTGGGAGGGTGTGAATCACAATGTTAAGTAGTGAAAAAATATTGGTAGTGTTTAGCTCTACAGCATGAGAGTTTAGGTGATTTTTGACTATCTTTTTTACATAATTTTTTGTTGCTGAAAGTTTTACATTGAGCATTCATTGCTTTTAAAATACAGGGGGAAAATTTATTTCTATTTAGAGAACAGCCTTATTGAAATGTGTCATTTTATTTTATTTTATTTATTTTTTGGTGGCTGGCCAGTAGTAGGATCCAAACCCTTGACCTTTGGTGTTAGAAAACCATGAACTAACCCAGCTAATTGGCCAGCTCCAAAATGTGTCATTTTAAAAAATGATTTCTCTTGTACAATTTGGGCAACAGGAGAGAATGTTCTTGGTCAGGAGCCACCCTTCTTGGCATCTTTTATAAAGCGAACAAGCACTTTTATGTCATCATGTATAATCAAAGTAACCTTCTCCTGCAGCAACATATCCTTGTAAATGATGGAATGCTTTTTTCTTTTTTTTTAATTTAGCTGTTTTATGTAAATGTGATATCGTAGTAATTTTTTCTGTCTTCTGGGTTTGTTTTCAGGACGATTTCGATGTCGATCGTTTTGTGTCGGACTGCAGGAAGCGGGTCCAGTTGGAAGAGCTGAGAGATGACCTGGAGCTCTACTACAAGCTTCTGAAAACAGCCATGGTGGAGCTCATCAACAAGGACTATGCCGACTTCGTCAACCTCTCCACCAACCTGGTAAACTTCACCTCCATGCTCCCGGTCAGCCACGACATTCACACACACACAATCTCTCTCTCACTCGTCAGTGTTCTGAAAAGTGCCTAGTGGTTTTAGAACCGTTTAGTCCATTCTCCCTAGAAATTTGAAGAGGTCACTAATACCGTTAATAAAAGGAGCAGACTTTCTCGGTACACATTTTTGTTTGGAGTTGTCACTCACGTGAGACTGTGCTAGCTAGACTGTTTTGAGTTAGGTATTAATTGTTAAGGAAAGGTAAAGGCTAGTGGCGGCAGAGTGGCTGTTTCTGTTGGCTCCTGGCTGACTCCTGCGACATCTCACTGGTTTAGGCTAATTTGCAAAACCAAATATTAACTGCTCTTAAGGAAACCTTAAATTTACTTCCGGGTGCCTATGCTAGCCAGAGCTAGGCTGAGGGAACACTGGTCAGTATTGAGCTTCAGGAGGCTTGGTTTTATAAAACGTAAGAATGGTTTGTAATGAGCCTATCAGCTGTTTGCGGAAGTAGTTTAGATTTGCTTGAGATTTGAAACTCCCAAAGTTCGCCTTTTAGCCTCCTTCTTCCTATTTTATTTTGATTTTAAATCTGTTTGTCTAAAGAAGTACAGGAAGTTGCCATCTCCATGGGACGTTTAAGAAGCATTAAAATTAATGGGCCACATCTGCTTTTGGGAAACGCACTAAGATAAATGTTCTAATAGGATTAGAAACCCAGAAAATTTTATTTCCAGCCTCCTTCTTCCTATTTTATTTTGATTTTAAATCTGTTTGTCTAAAGAAGTACAGGAAGTAGCCATCTCCATGGGACGTTTAAGGAGCATTAAAATTAATGGGCCACATCTGCTTTTGGGAAATGCACTAAGATAAATGTTCTAATAGGATTAGAAACCCAGAAAATTTTATTTCCATTCTATTCAGTTTGGGTTTTCCTCAAGGGTTGTGATGTTTAGGAGAGATGTAGTCCTTCAGATTTTCATATCAGCTGGTTCAACATCATCGTCAACAAGTTTTTTCATATTCTATCAACAATATTTATGGCGAAATAACATTTCTGTTATTTAGTTGCTTAGCAATGTGTGGTTGTCCGTTTTTTTGTACAGAAAGAACAACCTAAGTCTAATACTGCATTGATCATTATTAAATAGATACTTGGCAGTTACCCTTGATTGTAATGTGTTTGTGCCAACAAGATTTTTGCTTTTAGGTTGTCATGGACAAAGCCCTCAGCCAGCTTTCTGTGCCTTTGGGACAGTTACGAGAAGAGGTTCTGGTAAGTCCCCCAAATGATATTACACAGTCTACCACAAGGCATGATAAGCTCGTTTGCCTCCTCCAAGAAAAATTCCTTTACTCTATTGTATTTTTCGCTGCTTGAATGGTCGGTGATTACAGTACTCACCCTTGAAAGTATTGTAAATGGTTCTCTGGTTTTTTCGCACATGTTGCTGCAACCTAAAAAACATCTTTGATTTGAAGAAGACAGGTTCCCAGAGTAGAGCTTTAAGACATGGGGGGAGGAGAAGAAAGACATCTGAAAATCCAGTGTGTTAGTGCCACCTCTCTCACACGTGGGTAGTCACCAACTTATAAATGTCTTATATTTTTAAAATTTGTAATTTCACCAGTATTTTCCCAAACAATATTTTACATGTGGTTGGCTTCCTAGACCAGCCCACAAAAGCTATTTCAACCCTAATGTAACTAGGGTAATGTAAAATCTATGCAGTACCTACTAAATGTTGTATTTTAGTGTTTCTCTGAGATAATGTCTGCCATGGGAATGGAGCTCCCTACCTCCAAGCCTTTGGGGACAGGGACTCCATCTGGATGAACAGTAGAGGGAGTTCTGGCATCCCCTGCAATGAAAAACTGTGCTTACCTGGTCCTTTCCCTGCCAGATTCCCCCCGTCACCCCTCCACATCTCTGTCACACACCCCGACCTCCAGTTACCCCAGCATCACTGAACATCATGAGCTTGGCACACTGTATCGTCATTGCCTGTGTGTGTCCCACTAGATCATGCACAGCTCAATGGCCTGCTGCACCTGCCCCTGAGGCCATGCCTGGCATGTCGCTGGTGCTCAGCAGATGACATGAAGTGAACATACGGTACAGAAAAAAGTGCAGGCAATGGGAGAGTCCAGAGGAGGGAGGGCAAGAAAGAATGCACGAAAGATAAATCTTGACCTGAGCCTTGGACTAGCAGCTGGTTTTCAGCGTTTACATCTTGTTTGGTTTTTTCAAAAGCTTGTTAAAGTGCTTTTCGTGAGAATGGAAGGGAAATGGTTTTGTGGTCTGCGTTGGACTCTGCACAGGGCTCCGTGTGGGCCTCCTGTCTTCCCTGTGGGCACCCCAGTCTTCAGCCTCCCGCGCTTCTCCCTGCACTCTCTCCCTGGAGGCAGATTCGCTCTCCTGCTCCTGCTGACCAGACACTGCTCTCCCACACCAGGCTCTTGTCCTTCCTGCCCCTGCCCCTGCCCACTCAAGCCCCCACTCTGCCCGCAGTTGTCTTTACAGCCGCCTCTCCACTCTCGGGAATAGCCGTAGACCTGTCCTTCCAGAAGCTGCACCCATGAGACTCTGACACTGTTTCTGTCTTGTTTATCACTGTGGCCTCACTTTCTGTACAGCAGCTGTCATTTGATAGGAATTTCATAACATTTGCTCAGTGAATGAGCTCACTTTTCTGTGGAATTTTTATGATTTGTCCAGTTTATTCCATCACCTTCATTTTGGCCCTAATTCCTGCTTATCTCATACCAAGCTTAATGCATCAGCATCTGGACATGTTCACCTCTCCCTTCACCTGGCCATCCTGTTCCTGACTTCTTGATTCCTACTTTTCCCAAAACAACATTTTAAAATGTCCGAAGTCAAGTCTAAAGACCTTATCTGGACAAAGTGCTCCTAAATTAACTCCATCCCTTTTTATCCTTCTCTCCAAAATGAGGCCTCCAGAGCACCCAGAGGTGTGCCTCGCCAGCCCCGAGTCTGGGGTGTCCATTCTGTCGTCCTGGATTTTGTCTTCTCGTAGTCTCCTCTATGCTGGTCCACATCTCCCGATTTTCACAGTCCGCCTCCGGTCCCATCCCCTCCTCCAGACGCCTGGGCACTTGGACTCAGGTCATCCTTTCTCTATTCTGACCACGTCGTGGCAATTAATCCAGTGTAACCTGGACTTCATATGTCATTTCGCCCTAAATCATGAGTACCCTAATCAGCAATTGCGTCTAATATTTTATAATTTTGTGAATATCTACGTAACGCTGATGTGTAGACATTAAGTCCCATGGCATTGCATTAAGTGTGCAAATTTCTTAACGTTGCAAGACAATTTCTGCAGTACATTTTCCTTACTCTTCTAGAGTCTCAGATCCTCTGTCAGTGAAGGAATTCGGGCCGTCGATGAACGAATGTCTAAACAGGAGGACATTAGAGAAAAGAAGGTATACTCACGTGTCGTAGCGTCAGAGTGACATCAGTGTAACTGGCTCACTCCATCACCTTGCAGTTACAAGCGCTTTCAGGCGTGTGGTCTGATCTGCTCCTCCTGGTACCTTTGCAGCGGAGCGTGACATCTCCTTTCGTATTGAGGGGTTGGTAGCTCAGCAAGGCTAGCACGGGGCGGAGCCCAGGCCTTCTCTCTCCTGGTCTGATTAAAGTCCTGTGGATGAGAGGGGTGAGGTAGGATAATTAATTTTTTGTAAAAGGCAAAGAAAATAGCCTATTCTTTGTGTGCTAATTTAATTTATTCATGGTAGCATTAACGTTTTTAAAGACAGCTATAGATTTCTGTGTTACCTGCCAGCCAGAGGCCCCCCTCATGTCTTCTCGTACTTCTCAGGCAATTTGTCTGTCTGAAATAAGAAGACAGAATTTTAGAGGCACCCGAGTGTTCACTGAATAGAAAATTCATCATTTTTTCAAAAGAAGACACAGTAATAACTGACAGTGAGGCCTTTAAACTTTAACAAGCAAAGAGGGTGCCCTCGTGCACACGTTAGAAACCAGGGAGGAGGCGGGCGTTGTGGAGCAGGCTCCGTCGGCATCCTGCCGTGGGTGCAGCGGTCTGGAGGAACAGCCGTGTGTCACTCCTCCTCCTGCCACTTGTCCATCTTTTGATCCCCTTCAAATACGCCTCCACAGGCACAGCCTTGGCCTTTCAGTGGTCCCACGTTTTAATTTTATTTTCTGATTTTTTTTATAATCATGATTATATCACGGCAGGATTGGCATTAGAGTTCAAGACTTCTGACTTGAGCCTGGTGCTCTGTCCAGCGTTTTCTAAACTTATCTATTACTCTTTTTTTTTTTAAATCTCAAGGGAGACAAGCCTGTCTCAGAGGCCTTCTGTTTTGTTTCTTTTTTTTTTTTCCTTTTTTCGTGTCCGGCAACGGATCGTAACCCTCAGTGTCGCGCCCGTACCGGACTGGGAC